TAAAAATCTATAAATAAATATAAATGAAGTCTTGAAATAGATTGTGGAAAAATCCAGAAGACTTTTGCATTATAATGAATAAGCCAATTTTTATTTTGTAAAGTTGGAAATAGAGGTGGGGAGCTAACGCTGTCTGTGACTTCCTGTGTAATGCTGGTTGCAAAAACTGTCAGGGAGTAATATCATCGTTCACAGTTTGCATCGGGGGGTTGTGGCTGGGAGTTCTTGTGGGGAGGAGATGGATCTGCAGACTCGGGGCGAGGCCATGCTGTGCACATTTTGCTCTTCTTCAAAGGACTCGAGATCCTGCATCAGCGTGGGATCCGGGAGCTGCAGTGTGAGCCGCAGAGACTCGGAAAGTACTCGCCATGACTCCGAGACAGAAGACATGCTTTGGGATGATCTGCTTCACGGGCCGGAGTGTCGCTCGTCCTGCACCAGCGACAGTGAGGAGATGACTGTGAGAGGCACCAGGCGGGACTTGAAGGAAGATGTTTTCCAGCAGGTTTGTTGTGTTGTATCCAGTAGCTGAGAATACTATGAAAGATCACACACACACCCCCCACCCCATTTTCCACCGTTTGCCCCCATAATGTGCAAGACAGATGTGAATGCTGTTGGTATAATGTGAGCAGCCTAATGCTGGATGAGCCCATTCTGCCAATGGTGCTGATCACACCCATGTCTGGAATGATCTAAACAGTATCAACGATCAGCTCCCTCCTCCCTGCCAGTGTCATCTGGACCACAGCTAATCCCAAACCAAAATATTTCACCCAAAGACAAAACTGGAATCCCCCTCTCCGTCTAAATACTTTCTAGGAAAAATCGTTATTTAATAGCAAGACAGAAATAGATGATATGCCTTTTCCGTTCTTTTCTCTTTTATAGAACCATTTGTTTTGGCTGCAGAACACAAGTCCAGCATCTGCAAAAGTGAGTGCACTGATCTGGGAAGGGAACGACTGTAAGAAGGTGGACCTGTCTGTGCTGGAGATCAGTGGGATTATCATGAGCAGGGTAAGAGGGCTGTAGGGCATTGCAGCCTCCCTCCCTCCCGCTTAAAAAAACAACAGCCAAAAAACCTGGAAATAGCTACGCATGCAGATACGGAGTGCGGTGTGAAACTGGTCCCTCCTCAGCTGCAAATACAGTTGTCCCAAATGTTCGTATTTAAAAATTGCATAAACCAGAATGTAGGAGGTCCTGTTGAAGACTAACGAGTGGCTGAGTCTCTGCAGTGTGCGGAGGTGGTGGATTTACTATTGCTGACTGATTGATTGTTGTTGGTTTGGCACTGAAATGGGTGAATTATTTTAGGCTATGTCCTTTGAAGGGAAGGGGAACTGAACACACAACAGTATGCCTTTTCCTTGACACAAAACCTGGGGTAATCATCCCATTTGTGTTCCTGCTTGCCAGGTTAATGCCTACCAGCAAGGAGTGGGGTATCAAATGCTGGGAAACTTTATCACCATTGGCTTGGCATGCATGACTTTCATCTTATCACCATGGGCTTCACATCCCTGCCCTTCCTCTACAGACTCTTCCGCGCAGATAACCTGGAGCAGCTCTGCTCCTTTTCTCTAAAGGAGCTTTTGCACATCTTTTGTGGAGCACCTGCTAGCACCCCTGTCATTGTTCTGTCTGCAATCAACTTCCTTGAAAGACTTTGCTTAACCTGGATGTTTTTCTTCATGATGTGTGTTGCTGAGAGAACGTACAAGCAGGTAGGTTTAAATGTACTGCTGCCTTTCATGAGCCCTGGGGCTGGTGTTCTACCAAAACCACGCTGCCTGGCACAGAAGACACTGGCAAGACAATCACGTCTGAGCAAGTTGAAGTGTCAGAGCTGGTGAGATGCCCAAGGAGTTTAGGTCAGGGAGTCTGCTGAGGCTCCTCTTCATCAGTCACACACTTAAACCTGTCGATACCCTTCCTGACCTCTGTGCTCCCCCTCTTACTCAGCTGCCTGCCCCCAAGGAGAAAAAAATAACTTTTTAACACCTTGAAACGGCATGCTGCATGAAGTGAGCGCTTCAGCACTGAGCTGTTTGTGCAGAAGCAGCAGCCTCTGCAGCTGCCTGTTCTGAGAGGGAGCGTTAGCTGGCTGCAGCACATCCAGCTCTCTCACAACCGTGGGCAGCAGCTTTGTCAGAGTGGCTGTAAATGCTGCATGGCAGGCAGGCTGGGGTTAGTTTTAGTGAGAGCTCTGTGCCTCATCCTGCACAGCACCAGCACTTCTACCTCTGCCAAACCCAAGAGGAGCACTGTTACCTACCCGAGAGGTTGTGCACCAGGGTCCCCTGTTGGGTTTCCCCAGCGTGCCCCCAGGCTGATGTTTTCTGCCAGTTTCCACTAAGCAATCCCAAGAGATCTTTTTTGTTTGTTTTAGACTAATTTATGTTTGAGTGTGTATGTTTTTGTTTTTAATTCGCAGAGGTTTTTGTTTGCCAAGCTTTTTAGTCACATTACATCTGCTCGTAAAGCCAGGAAATATGAAATTCCTCACTTCAGACTCAAGAAGGTAGAGAACATTAAGATCTGGTTATCGCTTCGTTCCTATCTAAAGGTGAGTTGTGATCCAAGATTTGATTATTACAGAGGGTGTAACCAAGTCTCAGTACATGTACTTCACCCTCCCTGACATTTAACAATTTAATTGTTAAACAGTTACAGCTGTTTGTGGGGAGCCTTGACTTCACAGCTGTGCGTCCAGACCTTACCCCTGACTCAGTGTCTTTGTTTCTGCAGAGGCGAGGCCCCCAGAGATCTGTGGATGTTGTTGTATCATCCATCTTTTTACTGGCTCTTTCAATTGCTTTTATATGCTGCGCCCAGGTGAGATTTTAACTTTTTTTTCTAGAAGTAGTAGGGGAAAACCCTCAAACTACTGAAGGCTTTTGTCAACCTACAAAGTGCTTGAACTTTAGCTGTTTGTCTCCAAAGTAGTGTTTTGCATTTTTAAACAAGCTTTGTAATATTTAGTTGGTAACAGGTATTCATTCTCTGTATTTGCAGAGGAAAGTTTGCATTTTTATCATTAGGAAAATTTCAGGACACAGCCTTTAGTGCCCAAAGGAAAGGACTCTGCCTAAGTACCTCCAGTGTTCACAGGACATTTTATTTAAGAGGGCTGATTGCAGCTATTGTTCAACCAGTGTTGAAAAGCAGGTCAATAACTATTACTTACACCTGTTAATCCTCCACTAAACCTTCTGTTACAATAAGCAGTGTTAATGCTGGAGCCATTTTCTTGGTTTCTTTGGTTTTTGGCCAGAGGTTCATGACAGTGTTCAGGCAAGTTCCTGATGCCATGAAGATGCAGTTGTGGCAGCAGTAAGGCTGATGATTAGATCCTGATTCTCACTGCTGTGATTGCTTTTGTGAGCCACAGGTCTCTGGAGGAAGCAATGACAATCCCAGTCCTGCTGTGTTGGACCCAGTGAGTACGTACTGGGAAAGGCAGAACTGGCTTAGTCTGGCTGAGGCTGCCGGGGGACAAGCACCCCCGAAAGGAAAGGGATTTTATTGCCCGTTAATTGGGAAGAGGGAGGGAAGAGAAACGACAAGTGTCCTTTTCTAAGCAGAAAGAAAAAAAAAAAATCAAATTCCAAGCTAAAGCCAGGTTAGAAACAAGAACTTTTACTGTAACCTAGTTACATGAATGAATTGCACTTCACAGGAAAAACTGTCAGTAGCCGTAGAGCACAGACGGCTGTTCAGAAGAGGAGTAAGGACAAAGCTTTTGCACTCTTCCCGAGAAGAGGCAGGTTTTTATTGACATTGGTGCCTTTCTTTTTTTTTTTTTTTTCCCAATACAGGTTCTGAGGGGTCACAAAACATTTCTGAATGCAGCTTACAACTGGGAGTTCCTAATCTGGGAGGCAGCACTGCTTCTCTTTTTACTACGTCTGGCATCTTTGGGCTCCGAAACCAACAAGAAATACAGTAATATTTCAGTCTTACTCACTGAGCAGGTATCTCCATTGAGCTTATGCTCCCTTTGGACAGAATTATTGCATTCCAAACCAGCTTAAAAAATACTGGAATCAAATTTTGAAATTCAGAAATCAACCCTTGTGCTGGACAGAAGGCAATGAAACTCTGTACAGGTGGGGAGGGACAAGCTGTTAAAACATTTGGACAGACTCAAATTATAAAATTCTAGATTATTTTTGTCTTTGGGTTAACACGTGTTAGCCATGTCAATTGGAAAAATAATATTATCACTGCCAAAGTCCTGTCTGTGGATGCATCACTTCTAAAGAGGTGACAGTAGACTGCAGAAAATGGCTCCAATTTCCCTCAGTTAGAAATTAGTTGAGGCTTGTGCTGGAATATTAACATCTGGTCTGTAACGTCTGTCTCACAGATAAACTTGTACCTGAAGATGGAGAAGAAGCCAAACAAGAAGGAACAGCTGTCACTAGTAAACAATGTTTTGAAACTATCTACAAAGCTCCTGAAGGTGAGCTGCCCTCCCTCACAACACGCGGTTGCTAGATTTTATGGAAGCAATGACTGATGACAGTGACTGTGTTTTTGCTCTTCCCAGTTCTTGTCTTGGTTTGTAACTCAGCTCTCACCAAGGGAGTTTTTCTGGGCTTCTACAGCCATGGCGTAGGATCGAGCGACACAAGCCCAGTGTGGTTAATTAGTGCTGCAAACACTGGATGAGTAGCAGGTTACTGATTTCGATAAGAGACAGTAGAGGCTGTACGCCCAGAGTGTGTCTCCGTACTGCTTGAATCTCATTTTCCTTCAGCAGTTCTGATGTCGAGGCTTGTTGACAGTAGCAGAGCAGATATTTGGAAAAGAAAGAGCACAGTCTGAGAGTCACATAAATTAGTCTAGACAATTTCTAGGGCCTGTTGTGTCAGGCTCTTGTTATGCAGCTGGTGTTGCTACAATGGAGACTCTTCAGGTTCAGCACGGCTGTTAGAAAACATCTTTGAGCTGGGAGGCCTGACGTCTAGTGTGGCAACTTTTGTATGTACAAGAAGAGGGCCAGTATTAAGCTAAATGTCAGGATGTCATGTCCTGGCATGGATGAACACTAACGGGCTTTTTTTTCCTTTCACTGCAGGAATTAGATACTCCATTTAGGCTGTATGGACTGACCATGAATCCATTAATCTACAACATAACACGTGTTGTGATACTCTCTGCTGTCTCAGGTGTTATAAGTGATCTCCTAGGATTCAATATCAGAGTAAGTGTAACTCCCACACAAACCAACAGGAAACAGGGTGGAGGGGTCACTTGTGTACCACTGCCACGCTCCTCCCACCCCAGCTGAGAGGTGGCGGGTTTGCATGAGGCTCCCTCACCACGACAATTCAGAGAACAGACTGTGCTGAATCGATCTCCATCTCCCTGAGCCCGGTTTGGGGGGGAAGGATGGGGCTGCTTAAATTTCAGCACTGTTCAGATCTTCGGTGCCCACTTAAAGCCGTCAGTCGAATCCTGGGTTCCTTCCCTTTAGAATGGAGACACAGCCCTCCTCTGACTCACCATTAAATTGGAGCCCACGGAGCGGGGCATCCAACGCAGGATGGGCAGAGGGGACCCAGTCTTACCTGTAGATGAAAAGCACTCAGCCCAGCAGCTTTCAGCCCCATACTCACTCTGTGTCTCTTTTCAGTTGTGGAAAATTAAACCATGAACTGCCCAAACATCAGCACTCAGCCCACTCTGCCAGGACAGACCAGAGGAGAGAACCAGAAGCAGAGGTCCTCCAAACTACGGCAGTCTGTACCGACAGGTTCTCAGTGTATGTATCAAAAGTTCTCGCTCTGCTTTGCAGTTCCACAGCACACACACAGAATAAACTGGTCTGATGGGTGGAGTCCTCCCAGGCGTGCGCACACAGTGGAACAGAGGTAACTGGGCCAAGAACCAGTAGCAGCTGCCACTGATGCTGGCAGGACCCATGTGTGCAGTGTGGGGTGTCAAACACTAAAAGCCATGCAAGACCTCCGAGGGGGGGGGAACACTGAGGATTGCTACAGGTGCCTTGTTCCTGTAAAATCTAATCCTGTGCATGTGACAAGTGAAGGCAGCCCTCCCGTTTCCGTTAGCATCATCCAGAGAGCTCTGGAGCTACACTGGAATTTTTTGATTTGTGCATCCTTCAGTGCTCTGCTCAGACTGATAATACTTGGATGCATTTATCTGAATGTGCTGAAGAGTGGGTCTTGTCTTGAGGGCTCAGAGTGCCTCGTTATCCTGAGCTGCGGCAGGACACAGTGAATGCAATCTGCACACCATGAGTTCTGCCTCCGGGGTCACAGTTAAGAATAGAACAGAGTCACGGGGGTTGGCTTATGTTGGGTCTTCTGCAAATAAACGCGAATCATTTTTTGAAAACGTCAGTTCCATGAGAATAACCTTACACCACAAACTGCAAGTAAAGCATTTATCAGCTGTAGAACATTTGCTGCGTTTGTGCCCTGTAACACCTCAGGGTGCCGAGTTGTGCCCTGGCCCGAGGGCACCCTGGTGTGTCCTTGGTCTGACACCCAGCTTTGCTCTGTGCTGCAATACTGCCTTGCACTGGCATCCCTGAGGAGGAAATCTGTTACGAGAATGGGTTCAGTGGAAGAGAGGGGGCAGAGACTTCCTCACCCAAAAGCAGATTAATGCATCGAAAGTGCACGGGAGAGAAAATGTTCAACTTACATTTTCCTTAACTGCCTCTACTGTCTTCTATTTATTAGCAATGAAAAAAGCAAAACCTGAGGAACTTGTCATAGCTTCATTCTTTCAGAGAAGGGGAAAGATGGCATCAGAATGTTGGGTAGTTAATTGTTCACAGCTATTTTCTGTACAAGGAAAAGTTGTAGGATGTAAAAGGAGATGAGTTTTATATATCAAAATGTACAAATAAACCTGCAGTACACGGATTTCATCGTTAACAATTGTTTCTACATGACTTGAGGGTTTTTATAATAAATACCTTTGTGGAACATTTGTTATTGGAACAGGGAGTCAAGGAAACTTCCAATAATAAATTGTGTTTGTTTTCCAGAAGTGTTATGTTCGTGGGCAAGACCCGGGTTGTGGATTTGTCTCTTTAATGTATCACACCCCTGAAAGTCAACAAAGAATCTATTTTATACAGTGCAGAACCAACAGGCCAGGAACTGGAGTTTCTTTTTAATATCTATATAAAAAATAATGAGCAATTTACAGGTCTCTCTCTAGTCAGAACCTCAGAAGTATGTATAAAGGTGCTGTACAATATATAAACATTTACACCTGGGACATCCACACAGTGCTCAGCATTCCAAGGCCACATTGCCAAGTCACCCGATACAGTAAGTACAGATACAAGTCTATGGGAGGAGAAATCACACACAGGTTAGACACTAACTCAGGTCACATTAACATTTAAAAAATACGGGGGCAGCTGATGCAGGGAATGATTTCAGTGGTGCTAATTCATCTCGTATTGAGGGTCTGAACCTGTCACAGGACTTGGTGGCTGGGGCAAGTGCGTACAACTCAACAGAGAACAGGATCTCTGGGGAAGAATACATGGTTAATATCTACACAGGCTACTTCCAGGTATTAAATATGTTCACAGTCGTACTCCACAACAGGAGTATTTGTACATATGCTACACGGCAAATCTCAAGGGATCACCCCACGTCAAGCAGCAGAGCACAGTTCAGATCTGCTTTAACGCCTACTTAATTTTCAACGTCTTTGTTTAAAAAGCTGTTTGAGTCGCCACCTGTACTGATGAAGAGTTCAACTCAGAACTGATTCACGGTGCTTCATTAAGCTTTAAAAACATGAAATGTTTCAAAGCCAAGAACTCGTTCACTTTCAAACAGCAAATCGTGTTAGTTTGAATTTTAACATAAGTAACGCTTGACCTGTTACACCGCTTTCTCCCCCTGCAGACTGGGGCAGCAGGGTCCTTTTACCCCTTTTTTGCAGCCATTGAATCATCACTAAAATTATGAGTAAAATAAAACCCTTCAATGTATGCAGTCTGCTGTTCTTACAGCTGTAGGACTGATGTGTCAGTAGACTCTGGGGGTGACATTCCTCTTTTTAAAATATGTATTCTAGCCCCAACAATAGATATTAAGTCTCATGTACCCTGCACATCATCCTATTCAGCACTCCTGGAACAGATCACACGTTCAATGTGAAATATGGGAGAATTCTACCATACACAGGCAAGAACTTAATTCCAGAAGCTACTGTGGCAGCTGGTTCTGTCCGGAAGGTCAATTGTTCTCTCTACAGAGGGAAAAAATCTGATTCTGACCTAGCATTAAATAACTAAAGACAGGACTTCAGTATCCAGCACCACAATGAGGCTGAAAGTAAACGTGCTCTTGTGTACAAAGAATGCGAAGGACGACGCAGTGCACAAGTGAAACCAAAGGAATTCTGTTCTTTAGCAGAACCCAGAATCTCTCTTCAGACAGATGTCTGCAAACAGCTGCTGTAAGCATCCTTAGGAATCAGGAAAATAAAGCAATTTTGCTGTGTTCATAAAAAGCAAAATTACAAAACATTATGTCAAATATAATCTTTATCTACACGATTTTGTATTAGGTATAAAAATTTAAGAAAAAACATCAACTGAACAGCATCAGTGGCTCATTTGCTGCCCTAGAATGGATAGAACCAACTCGCCCATCCTCTTACTGAACCCGTAAGAAGATTGTGTTTCCTGATGTAAACATGCAACATGCTCCTGGGGAAATACCCATTTCAAACTACACCTCGCCTTGTCCGTGACTGGAATACGTACGGGAAGGATCAGATTGACTGGATACAGTAGATAACTTGGCACAAGAACAAGTGAGTCATGATCACATTGGCAATAGAGGCATTAAATAATTTTGTTCAGAAACTCACAATACTATCCGAGAAAGCCGTAGCAGTGCAACATTGAGAGCAGCAGAACACCGCCTTCAAAAGGACAAGGGGACAGCAGCTTATGGAAGTTTCATTTAAGCAATCCAAAAGGTCCTTCATGCAGCTCAGATAATTTAAGAACGAATCAAATACTCTCCCACCCTCTAACCAGTTTCTGAAAAAAATGACAACTTTGTGAAAAGAAACAATGCTTTTAAATTACCATTACTAGAAACTTGAGTAAAACAGGTTCTAAAAAAAAAAAAAAGTGTCAGTCAAACTCGTTTTTCAGCCACGCCTGCTGCTGGGGTGACTTTACACGCGCTCGGTACCCTCCAAGGTCCAGGAGTTATCGGTGTTTTCTTGACGGGAGAACTATTCTCAGATTTGGAAATTCCATCATCTTTGGTTTCGTTGGGCAGCTCCATGCGTCTCTCTCCGTGTTGTCTGTTCAGCGTAACAGCCTCCGGTGTTTCCAGCCACCTTTGTTTCTCCACGGAAAGCAGGGGAATATTGGAAAGACTGGAAGTTTTGCATCTGCTGGAACTTGGCTCTCCAGAGTTTGACTTCTTTATTTTTCTGTCTTCAGATGTGTTTCTCCTAGAGTCACTGAATGGCAGGTTACTCTCATCAAATGCTGCACGTTGTCGCTCTGGAGACCACCCGTCCGTCTTTCCAGAAGTTTTCTGCTTCGTGTCTTTCCTGGTGACTGCTGTTTTACCACTCCCACCCTTCAACTGCTCAACAGTCGTCTTGTCACCACTGGTTGTTCTCTCTTGATATTCTTGTAACCTGCCCACCGTTTCTACATTTCCTTGCTTACTGAGATGCTTCTGGGGACTGGCAGACCTCCCGTGGTTTCCACTGGAATACTCTTTTTTGGTTCTGTCGTTCATCTCTGTTTCTGTGGTTTTACTCTCTCTCTTTCTGGAGCTGTCAGATTTATGTGAGAGATTGCCGCAGGGTTTTTCAGGATCCCTTTTCCTGGGGCTGTGGAATCCTGTGTGAGGGTGTCCCTCAGCAGCCCCCAGCTTCTCTGGACTTGCAGATCTGTCTCTTCTGGTCCTTCCTTCCAAACTCCCTTTTGTGGTTTCCAGCCCAGGACTGGAGGGACATTCCCACCTCTTCTGTGTTCTCTGGGGAGGAGACTGAGGCTTCATCTCAAACTGGTTTTCAGTTAAAGTGCTTATCTTTTCAGGCACAGTGTTCTTTGCTTGTTCCAGTTTCTCAGACAGCTGAACGTTCGTTAAAGCTTCTCCTGGTACTGGTAAATAACACCCTTCGGATGGGGAAGCAGAATGGGAAGATGAAGGTAATGGTGACTGTTCCTCATATATTACATGTGACGAAGATGGATTGTAACTATCCCAATCACCTGGAAGTAAACAGGGAGAGATTTGACTAAATGACTAAAAACAAAATAATCACTAAATATTTTAGAAGCGTGCATACTACTGAGGTTGCAGGATGTTATATGAAATCTTTAATTTAAAAAGGATTAAGTCGTGGCATACTCTCAGTGTCTGATTTAATCAGTTTTCTATATGGCGTGGCTCTACAACCTACTACAACCATAAGGACGTGATTCTGGAAAAAACCTCATGCTTAGAATGCTGGCATGATCTCTGCGGGACCGACAGGTCTTGTATCAGCACAACTTTAGAGCCTACATCGCAAAATTGCAGAATATAAAGTCCTTGACTACATGGTTTTAATATAAGAAAATCTAATGGGCTGAGACTGTTGTGCTAAAAGAAAACTGGAAACAGTGAAAAGTTGAGGTTATTCATAGCT